AGGTAGACTTGCTTGTCAAGGAGTCCCACACTACCGATGCAACCAAAATCTGGCACCGGTGTGCGTAACTGCATTACCCCTCTTTAAAAAAGGATCATAGATGCACCTATTCTCCACCTCCTAGTAGTTCCTGCCGGTAACGAGGCACCTTTTTCCAACGTGTGCCTCGGCTAACGAAGTAGGCTTCACGAGTCCCTGGGGTTGCCAGCCCCTTCGACCCTTTACTGTTGGCACGTCTCAAAGAAAAAAGCCTCGGATAACAACAGATGAGTCCATGATGAGACTCATCGTCCCAACACATTTCCCAAACAACCCACCCACTTACCCCCTACCCACGCCTGTACGTTTTGCAATCGATCCTTTGCCACAAAATCCGGACTTGGGGCCCACATAAGACGAGCACATCCCGACCAGCGCGACCAGATGCTTCGTAGGGTGGATGTTAAATTGCGATGGAGCGAGGAGGAGATTCTGCTCGTGACCAGGAAGGAAGCGGAGCTTGCTGTTCACCGCAAGGTCCGCTTCATGAACCAGGAGCTGGCTAAAATTGTTCCAGCTAGATCGATCGAGGCAATCAAGAAGGCAAAGCAGAAGCAGGGCTATAGGGATGCGGTTCGTCGTATCACGGACGAACTTTAGGCCCCGGCCCCGCATAGCCTGCCAGAGCCTCCTTGTATTGCTGAACCATCTGTTGATCGTTCACAGCAGCTACCATCGTCTCCTCCTCGCTCAAACACCCCACTACAGATATTGGCTTTCTTGACTTCCTGAAGACTCTTACAACACCTGAGTCCTCGGACATAATCGACCGGGCTAGTGTTGTCGGCAAATCTACTACCCTCTCTCGGCTTTCCGCGTATCTTCTTGATATATAGCCACCGAGAGAGCCTCTAACCCCCAGGTTAGACGCGATGCATCAGGCCGCCCCTTAAATAGAAAACAACAAAGGCGTCAGGAATACGCCCTGACACAAAAGAACTGGGCCAAACATCAAAGCAGGTGTATCGTGTCTATTCTGGATAGGCCAAGTATGTCCACTCTTCCACCGAAGGACATCATGGAGCCTTATTGGCGTAATGTTATGGAGCTCGGGAGCCCCTCTGCACCATCGAACGAGGATCTAAAGCAGCCTTTACATTCCATCTGGACGCTCATCGCAATGGATGAAATTAGAAAGAATAAAACCTCTTTGTCAACATCCCCGGGTCCAGATGGAATCACATCCAGGAAATTAAGAGCCATGACTGTTCCGATCCTCGCTAAGATTCTTAATCTTATTCTTCGGTGCGGAGAGGTTCCTCGCCACTTGGGTATGGCGAAAACCATTTTCCTGCCCAAGATGGTCAATTCCACCGAGCCTGGTGATTTCAGACCCATCACCGTCAGCAGCTCCATGCCATTATGGCCGAAAGGCTCACAGCGGCCCTCACGTTGGACCCCCGGCAACCGGCGTTTATACCTACGGATGGCTGTGCCGACAACACTACCCTGGTCGATCTGCTACTCCGGGACCATCGCCGGAGATATGCCTCCTGCTACATCGCCGCCTTAGACGTCAGCAAGGCGTTCGATTCGGTGTCCCATAACGCCATCTTTGGGACACTCGAATCGTATGGATTCCCTAGGGGATTCATACAGTATCTGAGGAGTCTATACGAATCCACTGGCAGCCGTCTCATCGGTGAGGGATGGACGTCCGACACCATACGTCCAAGCCGCGGAGTAAAGCAGGGTGATCCTCTATCCCCTGTCTTATTTAATGTCATTATCGACAGACTCCTGCTGTCCTTACCGAGGGACATTGGATGCACTATAGGCTCCTCTAAGACGAACGTGATCGCCTTCGCTGACGATCTTATCTTATGCGCCTCCACCCCCCTCGGGCTTCAAACGCTTATCGGCGCTACCCACACCTTTCTAGCTTCGTGTGGGATGAGGTTGAATGCATCAAAATGCCTTTCTATTATCGTCAAGGAGCAGCCCAAGCAGAGGATCACGATTATTGAACATCGAACTTCACTGTGGCAGGGAACTCAATGCCCTCGCTGAGTAGAACCGGCGAGTGGCGCTACCTTGGTATTTATTTTACTGCCGATGGTAGATGCAAGTACCTGCCACAGGATGAACTGTTGCCAATGCTTGACAGGCTGTCCCGGGCGCCACTGAAGCCCCAGCAGAGGCTCCACGCTTTGAGGGTCGCCGTGGATCCGCTCCTTTACCATAAATTAACGCTTGGCAGTGTGATAATCGGTAGCCTGAGTAAAACCGACAGGATGATCCGATCGGCCGTGAGAAGATGGCTCGATCTCCCACGAGATACGCCGACAGCCTTGTTCCACGCGCCGATCGACCAAGGTGAGCTAGGTATACCCATTTGTTCGATGACAAGCCCCCTTGCTAAGGAAATTGAGGCTCGCCGGCATCATTGCTCAATTTCGGTTGCACAGCAACGGCGAACACCTTCGTTGCAACCGAGATTGATAAAGCAAGTTATAGGCTGCCGATCGACGGACGAACCCTCAATAGCGCCCAAGACATCGCTACATTTTGGAGCAATAAATTGCATAAAGGGGTGGACGGCTTCGGACTCCGTGAAGCGAGCCCATAGGTGGCTTCGAGAACCTACGAGGCTTGTCTGGCCGAGACTTTATTAGCTGTGTCAAGGTCCGGATAAGCGCTATGCCGTCCAGGTCCAGGACAGCGAGGGGTAGGTCACGCAAGGACCGCGTATGCCGTGCCGGGTGTGGCTCCCCGAAACGCTAAATCATATCGTACAACAATGCTTCCGGACACACTCCGCCCGCCTGCACAGGCATGACGCTATAGTAAACTATATAGACCGGACCTTGCGCAATAAAGGGTTCGTAACTATACAAGAACCCCCCCTCGTAACATCTGAGGGTTTGCGGAAGCCCGACCTTTTGGCAATGGCGGCAGGCAAGGCAATCGTTCTGGACGCCTAGATTGTGACAGACTGAAGGAGTCTCAACGAAGCCGACAATAGTAAAATGAACTATTATGATACCTAGGAAGCCAGAAAAGCCATCCGAGATAAATACGGGTTTGGGGACATAGTATTCACCACGGCCACCCTGAATTGGAGGGGCATTTGGTCCGGCTCGTTGATAAACCGTCTTATATCCCTTAACATTTTAAAGAAATCGGACACCGCTTTCATCAGCACTAGGGTGGCAATTGGATCGATACCTGCATTTAGAATATTTAATTCAGTCACCTCTTTAACGTACAGGCGTGGCGTGGGGTAATCCTTTTCCTTGCCACTTTCCCCTCCTACATGTGCTACCTGCATTACGGGTACAATAGTGCCTGTGCCCCCTCTTGGCTAGGGGAGCTCATGGCATTACAAAAAAAAAAAAAATTGTTTGAGGTGTCGGGCCGGCTTGCCGGTACTAGTATTCGAGACCAGTTCTTTTGTTGGGCATAGTTACGAGGGATGGATGCGTCTCTTAAAGCCTCCAAATAGGTTCCCGCTGGTAACGGGGTGAGTAGGCGGCTTTGCCTGTCCTCGGCTAAATGGAGAGCGACCCCTATCCTGTCATGGAGGCTGCTAACCCCCTTGACTTGTATTCAGACCGGCACGAAATACAAAAACAAGTCTCGGATATCGATGGATCTAAACGGGGAGCCCTCTGGCTGAACTGAACCGGCTAAAGTAACTGGAAGTTGCGAATCCTCCGAACCTCTACGTGTTAAATGTGAGGTTCCTGGCTGCATAAGACCTCTGCAACTAAGAGAGGACGTGGAGTGCGTTACAGCAAGGCCCACAAAGATTGGCACGACGATCAGGCCAAGACTGAATTCCAAAAGGCTCCTTGGACTATGGAGGAAGTGAAACTAATGGCTAAGTTCGAGGCGAAGCTCGTTAAAGGTGGTATGCGGTTTGTTAACCAAGCCTTGCTTGATTCCTTTACCAATCGAACATTAGAGGCGATTAAAGGAAAAAGACGAGACCCAAAATACAAAGACCTGGTGACTGGATACCTTGGGGGGGAGGAAGAAACTTTCCTGCCTGAACCGAACACTGATAATAACTACAGAGAAAAGTGTATCCAACACAATCTCGAGGGGCAACTCCATAAGGAGAAAGAATTGCAAAGGATCTGCGATTCTCTAAGCAAGTGGGATGACGACCGCATCCTCCAAGAGCTGACTCTGTACATATTGAGCATTATTCCGGCCGGAAAACCAATGGCGTCAGGAAAACGGGAGGGCATAACAGTCAAGCTCACCAAACGACAACAGAGAAAGGTGGACTATGCCAAGGTGCAAAAATTTTGGTATAAGAATACAGGCCTGTGTATTCGGTCCTTATTAAAGGACTCGAAAACCAGTAATCCACCCCCTGACGATTTACTGTGGAATTACTGGGAAACAATAATGACTCAACCAGTATTCGGCAAGTCCGATACTTTAACAAGGTAGAAAATACACCACCAGATTTGGGATACTATTACCAATGAGGAGATCCGCAAGGACGTGCCATCTAACATGGCACCTGACCCTGATAGTCTTACGGCTGCAACCCTAAAAGCGTTTCCTATCGATGTCGTCAGTCGAATTAATAACATCTTCATTATGATTGGGAAAATACCTACCCATCTCTTGGAATCGCGTACAACGCTAATTCCAAAGAAAAACGACGCATGTCAGCCTAAGGACTTCAGACCGATCACTGTTTCATCTGTATTAGCGCGCACTTTACACAAGGTGTTAGCACTGAGAATGATGGAACATATTAACCCTTTCGGCCCGAGCGGTGACTATAGTCACCCAACGTTTGACGCTCGCTCTATACGAGCGGTGACCATAGTCACCCAGCATTTGACGCTCGCTCTGTATAAGAAAAACATTTAACCAGTACGCTTGTTTGGGCTCGCTCAGACGTTCGAAATATTTTCACGGTATGTGTTAATTTTTCTGCATTATCACATCATTTCATTTTATTATATTTTTCGTTTATTTTGTACCCCTCAAAGATAATGAATAGGAATTGCAAAAGAAGGAAAGGAAACTGTTACTCCATCGAAAATGAGAGCAATGAGATATACGACAAATCTTCGGAGTCCGATAGCGATACTGCAGTAAATAATATTTATACTAGAAAGAAGCCAATTCGTCGGACAAAAATACTTAGCACGTCAGAATCAGAAGATGATAATATTGAAGATGCTTTGCCATCAACTTCTTTTCATAATATCCAATGGACTACGGAGAATGCTGAATTAACATTTCATAATTTTGATCTTTCCAATTCCGGACTTCAGACAGAAAACTTAAAATTTTTCTCTACAATATTACATTATTTTGAATCATTCTTTTCACATGATCTTGTAGGCTTTATTGTAGATAAGACAAATAAGTATTGGGCACGTACAGTAAGTGATAAGACGAGTGATGTCAAAATTGGAACAACTGTTGACGAACTATACTGTTTTCTCGCTTGTACCTTACTAATGTCGCGAAATAAAAAATTAGGGCTTCGTGAATATTGGTCCAAGGATAAACTTTTAAAATCTGATATTTTTAGCGAAATTATGTGTAGAGATAGATATTTAGTTTTATTGAAAATGTTGCATTTTAGTGATGATAATCAAAATTCTTCTGATCGCTCTGCGTAAGATAGCGTGGTATTGTGCGTCTGACGGGCTCTTGTAGTTGTTCCGCAAGTACGGACGTTTACCGCGGCTGCTCGGTCAGCGAGGACGGCGCGACGCAGAATGCGTCCGTACCGAAAGGGTTAAGATCGATGATCGGTAAAAAGCCTTCAGAAAAGTAGACGGCTGTGTCGATAACATCTTTTTACTGGATATGGCACTGAGATACCATCGGAAGCGGTGTAAACCCATTTTCATGGCTTCCTTAGATGTCGCCAAAGCCTTTGACAGTGTCTCGCATGAGGCAATATACGCTGTTTTAGCATCAGCAAGCGTACCAGTGGACATGATAGGATACATCAAGTACCTGTATAAGAACAATAGTACAAGGCTCTACTACAACAAGAAATCCTCTGGAAGGATCCACCCTAAGTGCGGGGTTAAGCAAGGAGATCCAAAGTCTCCTATAATATTTAACTGCTTGGTCGATCAGCTGATACAAAGAGTAGCAAAGGAAATAGGCACACAAATACCTGGCGGCCCGCATGTAAATGTCTTGGCATTTGCGGACGACATTGTATTCTTGGCAAGTACGCAGGAAGGTCTGCAGCAGTTGATCGGCCTGACGGGTGAATTTATGAGCGTAAGTGGGCTTAGGATTAACATCATTAAGTTCCTTACGCTGGCTATAAGGAATGTGCCGCACGAGAAAAGATCTGTGGTGGATAGTAAGACTTTAAGTGTCTTGGAGGAACCTTGAGAGCGTTTCAGAAAACCGATAAATGGCGCTACTTGGGAGTCCAGTTTACTCCTACAGGTAAGCTGCTTGTTAACATAAAAGACAGTCTTATCGAACAACTCGATATACTATCCAAAGCACCCCTGAAGCCTCAACAGAGGCTGTTTGCATTGCGGACAACTTGCTCCCCAGCACCTACCATCTACTAATGCTGGGGGAGGTCAGGATATCGGCTCTTACAGGGTACGATAAGTTAACGAGGAGGTACGTCCGAAAATGGGTTCACCTTCCTCACCATACACCTATTGCATATATTCATGCTCCTATAAAGGAGGGAGGCCTCGGAATTCCATCGCTCAGGTGCAATATTCTAACAATGAGGCTATCCAGGCTACACAATTTGGCTCAAATAAACAATTCCTATCTTCATGAAGAAGTGAGGCTAACTCAACTAAAGCTCGAAGAGAGAGGCTCGAGCTATAAGAACAGCAAACAAACTGCGAAGCGCTGGAGTGATCTCCTGCATAATAAGATAGATGAAAAGGCGTTGAAAGACTTGGTCAAAGTCCCGCAACAACATTTGTGGGTCGGAGAAGGAACTAGATTCCTCTCTGGAAAGGACTATGTTAACTTTATTAAATTACGTATTAACGCCTCACTTGTTAGAGCAAGAAAGGGTAGTGGATGGTTAACGGAAAGGAGGTGCAGAGCCGGATGTATGGTCAAGAAACGGTGAATCATGTACTGCAACACTGTCACAGGACACATGACATAGGAATTAAGCGACACGACTCAGTAGTCACGTACCTTGGGAGAAACCTAAGGAACAAAGAGTACGAGGTCCACGATGAGCCCCATCTGAAAGTAGGAGGCCAACTCAGGAAACCAGACCAAGTGGCAAAAATCGGGAGCAACAAAGCCATCGTCCTAGATGCGCAAATTGTTGGAGAACAAGTAGACCTGAGGGAGGCTCACACGAGGAAAATCGAATATTACAAAGAGCTTGATGATGCTGTGAAAAAGAGATACAACGTTGACGATGTCAGATTCACGTCGATAACCCTATCGTGCAGAGGGATCTCGAGCAAGTCATCGGCTTCAGACTTAATTAACTTAAACATCATAAAGAAAAAGGAACTAAAAATTCTGTCCACTCGAGCCCTTATTGGTGGCTTAAACGCATTTTGGCTATTTAACAAAGTCACGTCGAGCACAAAACGAAGAACGCGTATTGGATGAAAGACCCAAGAAGTGCTAGTTCTTGGTACTGCCTGCCAATAAGACCTTATCAGGCATAACGAGAAGGTGGAGTTTTGGTGGGTATGCCCTGTGGACGAGAGAGTCCCACACTACCGGGTTCTCCGGTGTGCATAAAGCATTCCTCCACCTTTGCAAAAAAAAAAAAATCAGTTCAAGTACGTAGCCACCTCCTCGTGGGTCCCGCCGGTAACCCTCTCCTCTGGAGAGAAGCTAAGTGCTACCTCTGCGCCACAGGGTCTTGGAGGCTGCCACCGCCCTCGACTGTTGCCATGTCGGCCCAAAAACTCACAAAATAGCCTCGAATGTATCAAATTCTGTTGGAGGACCCTCGGGCTCTATCAACCCGACAATAGCATCCGAAAAGCTCAAAGCCATAAACGATTACCAGTGTCGAAAGCCTGATTGCGGTCGGAGTTTCTCCACCAAGACCGGAAGAGGAGTGCACGAGCAGCGAGCCCACAAAAGCTGGTACGATGCACTGACAGTTGAGAATATCGATGAGACCGTGATGTCAGAGAAGAGGAATGCGTCCTCTCCTGTCGAGCCGGCCCGCCAAGGGATGAACGACTTATGGGGGCCCCAGTCAAGACTGAAGTCAAAACTGCCTTACCGGAGCTTTCGACTTGTCCAGGCCCAAACGGTCTCACCTCTCGGCAGCTTAGAGCAGTCCCAATTCTCACCCTGGTCAAAATTTTTAATCTGTTCCCGGTGGTCGAGAAACTGCCTAGGCACCTCCTTAGGACCAGAACAGTCCTGATCCCTAAGAAGTACGGTGCGGAGAGATCCGAAGACTAGAGACCCATAACGGTCCCGTCTATCTTGACCAGTCTTTCACAAGATTCTGGCAAGACGCTTGTCGGACAGGTTAAAACTCGACTAGCGGCAGAAGGCTTCCGTACCTAAAGACGGAGGAACTGAAAACGTTTTCCTACTCGACATGATACTCAGATACCATAGACAAAATTTTAAGACCCTATACACGGTCTCTATGGACCTTGCGAAGGCCTTTGACTCGGTCTCGCATAGGACCATACAAGAGACTCTATCATGGGGATGCCCAGCCCAATGAGTGAGTACGTAATGAACGTGTATAGGAGAAGCCACACGACCCTGGCTTATGGCACATGGGAGTCAGAGGAGCTGCGACCTGCCTGTGAAGTGGAACAGGAGGATCCCCTATCTCTCATCATATTTAATATGGTGATGGACCGATTCCTACGGCAAATACCATCTGAGACTGGAGTTAACTTTGAAGGAGTTCATTTCAATGCGTTGGCTTTTGCCGACGACTTGATGTTCTTCGCCACAACACCTGTCGGTCTCGAAACTTCGATCGATGTAGCCGCTGACTTCTTAAAGCAGTGTGGACTCACCGTTAACGCGAGCAAGTCCTTCATTGTTTCTATTCGAAATGTGCCGCACTTGAAAAAGTCTGTGGTGGATGGCAAGCAAGCATTCACGTGCATCTCCCGAAAATTACCAGCTCTCGGGAGAGAGGATGAATGGAGGTATCTTGGTATACCCTTTACGCCCAAAGGACGAACATCTGTCCGAACCGAGGTCCAGTTGGCGTCCCGGCCCTGGGACTCCTGTGGCGTATTCTTCCGCCGCCGGAGGAGGGCCACTGGTAACGAACAAGGCACGTCCCCGGACAACGAGATCGATATTTACATGGATTTGCCTCTGAGCGGGCCAATCAAGTGTGGTGCATGTGCCCGCAACCCGCATGCCCGCAACGTGACTTGCAATAATTATTAGATTTGCATCAACAAATAGCTCGAATGTCAATAAAGAACTATGCGTTCTTGCTTCAATGAATGACACAACCAAAGGCACTGATATTTTTCCTCAAGTACAACAGTTTACAAATTTCAAAAATGGGCAAGTATTGGATTTAAAAAGTAAATTGTTTTCCGTAACAACTGATGGTGCTCCAAGTATGAGAGGAAAAATTGTTGGATTTGTAAAACTAATGGAAAATGAACTTGGCCGCTCACGTTTATCATTTCATTCTATCATACATGAAGAAAATTTATTTGCAAAGGCGTCTACGCAACAACTTAAGGATGTAATGGAAAAGATTGTTAAGATCGTGAACACGATAATAGCACGATCAGCATTAATACACAGGCGCTTTAAAGCTTTTTTCGAGGAAATTGAACCGAAATATGGAGATTTGTTGTTACATTCTAAAATACGATGATTAAGTCGAGGCAAAGTTCTTAATAGATTTGTAGAGTGTTTTGATGATATACAAATATTTCTTCCCGAAATCTGTGAAAATGATCTCGAACTTAATGATAAACAATGGTTTTTAAGACTTTTCTTCTTAACAAACATAATGAACCATTATATTGATTTCAATGTACGACTCCAAGGAAATAACCACACAATTTTAAAAATGTATGAAGAATGGGAGAATTTTACTTCAAAATTGATATTACTTGAAACTGACATAAAAACTAAAAAATTTCATTACTTTCCCGCATTAAAAAGAGAACATGAAAAAGAAAATATCGATGAAAGCAATCTAAATATGTTCGAAAGTTGGATTTTCGTGATTAAAAGTGAATATGAAAGTCGGTTTCAAAGTTTTAAGAAGCATGGAGGAATGTTTACATTTATAATAAAGCCGGAGGAAATAGAAGAAAATGTTTTAAATTTGCAGTATTTTCAATATCTAAAAATTGACAATTATAGTTTAGAAATGATTGATTTTAAAAGTTCAACGTTACAAACCGATAAATTTAAGAAAATGCGGAAGAAACAAAAGATAATCATCTTCTCATGGTATCAACAAGTTGGGTATCACTTTCTACGAAGTTTTCATCTTTGAAGAAAATTGGCTTTGCCATTTTGTCCACATTCGGTTCAACTTATAAATGTGAGCAAATATTTTCACAAATGAAATTTATACTAAGCAAGAACAGGAACAGGTTAACTACCGAAAATTCAGATGCTTATATTCGTCTTAAAACGACTAACTATAAACCAGACTTGACTAAATTGACGTCACAAGTTCAAC